TCCAAAAAGTCACAGGCATGAAAGCTCTATAAAGTGCAATTCTGCTCTGTGTGCACGGGGCAGCAGGAGTCAGGATCAAACCCACAATCTGCACATTTAACTATTAGATCGTTACAGAAGGTTTAAATTCTAACTTTTTCACATAGAAAACCCTTATCTCCTCTCTAGACAGAGATTCCCAGAGCATAAGCGAAAACGCACACACTGACATTTCAATATGACCAAGCAGAGGAGAAGATGCCAGCACCAAGTACCCCTGGTTGGCGACCACGAAACACCAAACTCACGTTACTGGGAAGCAAAATTATTGCATTGATCATCAATGTATGATAGGCCTGCCCCTCTCCTTACACTCCCACCCCAACTCTGTAAAAATCACACAGCAATCTATTAGTAAAACCAATGTCTTGGATTTCATATCCCTACTACTGGCTACTGTTTTTACTTTTGTTTCAATACAATCCTAGACACCACAACTTCACATAGCAGGGACCATGAGGGGTTTCAAAAAGCTCACCTCATAGTAGAAAACCGGACTGTTTCCACAACACTATGAGACACTCATATTTCAGTACTGGATAGCAGTTGCCTCCTTCATTTATTTCAGATATTGGTGGAAACTACTGATTGAACAGCAAAGAGTACTGAAGTAAAGAAACGCATGAGATATTAGAGCTAGAACTACATATTACTCTTACAACTTGCTACCCACTTTGTCTTTTATAAGCCATTCAACCTCCTTGTTTACTCCATTTCCTTAGCTATACAATGGGGGGGTGATTGATCAATCCTCTTGGGATTGATGCAGGGATTAAATTAGATAGCATTAAACAAGAGCTGGCACATATGAAATATTATGAAAACCTTAGTTTACGCCTGTCTCTCTCATTAGGCTACCACCAAATGGCCAGAAAGGCAAAGCATAACTAAACATAGCCAAAGTGAAGACTTGCAGTACAACAATAATTGAAAATGAGAAAGCATACTTTGCATTCAGTCAAAAAAACACTAATTGACTACTATATCCAACAGACAGTGTTATAGGCACTCAGAATACAGCTGCCTCAGAAAAAGGCACCTTTAAAGATTCAAAAGAGCAGTTCCACCAATACGCTCAATGAGTAAAATAAGAACTTTTTCACATGCATGCTGTCATTCATGTGGCACTTGTTATGAACTAAGGTATTTTGTTAATAATTTTTCATATACATACCATGCATACAAAACACACACACAGGGATGAGGCTCATCAACTTTCAAAAAGTTCAAAGAAAAATGGAATTAAAAATAAGGGAATTTTTCTATAAACTTTTTGAAGCCCCTCACTTATCGTTCTGAAGGTGGGGGCTATGTTTTATTTATCCTCAAAGATCAAAGTCCTAGCAGCAAAATTTTCAAAAACTAGTTATTTATTCATTTAACAAGTATTGACTGGGGAAAAAGGGGGAAGCTGATGTCAAGAGTTCAAATAGAAAGTAAATGTTTAGAAAATGATGATGGCAACATATGTACAAATATGCTTGACACAACTGATGTATGGAATGTTTAAAGATATGTCAGAGCCTCCAATAATTTTTTAAAGTATTTACTGAGTACTGTCCATTTGTCAGACACTGTGTTAAACACTGACGATACAGCGGTTAGAAAAAGACATACTGCCTCCCTTCATTGAGCTTATAGTCCAGTTGAACCAGAGAGCCTGGGGGGTGGGGGGTACCCTATAAGCTACTTCCAGATAAAATTTAAACAATCTAAAACTGGGGGGGGGAATTTTATGCCAAATATTGATCATTGAAAAGTATATGAAGTTTGTGATCTGACGGAGCACTAATACAAAGTCTATTAACGTTAATGTAGTTATTTTCTATCATTCAAGGTAAGATACCTGCCAATATTCTCTAAAATGTCCAGCTTATATTTAAATAAAATGAATATATTTTTGACCTATGTTTTTTCTCCCAAACTGTACTTCCATGAAACTTTTATACAAAAATAACAAATGCTTTTTTTACTCAGTAATGCATATTTCCCTCTGGAAAAGTTAAGAGAAATAGACAATATCCCTATTACAAGGAAAGCCTTTTATAAAGTAAACAGATACCTAACATTACCCAGAAATTACCCCAGCAATGCACAGAAATCAAATATCGTTCGTCCAACAGGAAAGGCCAAACATACAATTCACAGAAATACATCACTTTTTTTGATGGACTAGGTCTTAGAGACGGAACACTCTCCATGCAGGTACACTGAGTGGGCTCCCTAGTTCCAACAAATGGAAATCCTATCATCTGTCCAGCTGGTTTCCAGAGGTTATGAATCTACTTATAATTAGGTATTTGGGAGAGATTCTCCTATCTCGCACATATACTATCAGGGGGAAAGACAAAAACAAAAAACAAAAAACTATAGGTCTTGTTGACATGGCTTGAATTTCACGGTCAGTCAAATGTCTCTAGACACAGTGAAGGAACTAATCTAAAGAGTCAGAGGGGAAGGAGGGGACAAATCCATATCAAGGGTGAAGTCAACAGCACAAAAGCGAAATTCTTCAATCACATATTACACAAAGAATACATTTTTTCATATGAAAATCAAAATTTGCTGAAGCAACAGCATGAGCAACTCTTTTCAATGAAGTAAGACTTCGCAGGTGACAGCAAATGTCTATTACAGAACCCATAACTATACAAGGTGCTTTATGAGAACCAAGAAAATGATACACTCCTGTCACATAAAACCAACTACAGAGGAAAGCTTACCAGATTCAAATCAATTGACTTCAGAGACATACAACAAAGGAATATATAGTCTGCATTAGTTCAAAAGCTTAATAAATCCAGCAGAATTACAACTTAGCCTATAAGGCCAGTCTCTGTATACAATTAATAAATCTCTGAAGTCTCTGAGAAAGCAAGTAGATCATTTTAGCACCTACAAGAGCCACAGCATAATTCTTAAAACTGAAAAATAAGTACACATTTCAGAGCAAATCTTCATTAGCCTATTGTTAGGATTCTGAAACATTTTAAAGAGGGCTGTAAAACAGTTTCATTAGTATCATTCAAGAAAGAGTGCTACTATCTTTCATTCTTCTAGCAATTGAAAAGCTACCAAATGTCCATTTCTACATTATTGATCCCTTGCCTTTTAACATCCCCATAACAGCTGCTTGACAAATTACCTCACCTTATTCCTCAGGGGGGGAAGGACAGCATTGGGATCCATGAATTCAAAAATGGGACCACAAGCTAATCAGTGGCAGATAAGCTAATTGCTTCAGGAGTTAGACACTGCTCTTCAGGACCAGCAGTTATAACATAATACAATTAAATGCTATGTACTCTAAATAGTTCATTTGTACTTAAATGGGGCAAGCAGAACTTTTCACATCTTTGTAAGGATTTCTACAAAAGGCCTAACCTTTCCAACATTTAGGCTGACTAGTTTGCACATTCAGATGTAGCTTTTGCCTTTTAACTGAAGACATTGTTAAGTCCCCAAACATATTCTATCCAATAAGAATGAGTTTCTAAAGTATTTTCCACATACATGTCAGAGTAATTTAATATGGTAAGATATTTGTGTTGAATTTGCCTAGATTCATTCTCTGATCCATGTCAAAACTGCCTATCGGGCACTAAGAGAAAAGAGTCCGAGGAAACGGTGAACTTGTAGATTCAGTAGAACATCAAAACTGCTTTCCCCCATAAGATTAACAAAATGGTATGGATTTAAAGATGTGTTTTAATAAATAGCATTTCCGAGTCACATCACTCTTGGTTAAGCTGGCCTCTTTCTAGAAGAGTGGTTCTCAACCTTCCTAATGCCACGACCCTTTAATACAGTTCCTCATGTAGTGTGTGGTGACCCCCAACCATAAAATTATTTCCGCTGCTACTTCATCACTGTCATTTCGGTACTGTGATGAATGGGGCGACCCCTGTGAAAGGGTCGTTCGACCCCCACAGGTTGGGAACCACTGTTCTAGCAAGCAGCAACAGACTCTCGAACTCAAGACCAGTCTCATAAAAACACTTGTCAATTCCTTCAAAACTATCATTTAGGTAAAGTTTTACACTGAGGGTAATATAGTTTCAAGATTTCTCCACCATGAAAACAAAAAGAAGCTGCACACATTTATTAAAACTTTGGTACAAATGCACTTTTTGTAACCCATTCCCACAGCAAAACTGTGGGCATCCAAGCAGCTATTCTACTATTGGGGATGCTAATACCCACTAACCAAGCCACTGGGTATGCATGTTTCTCTCAAGCCTCCCTCCTAGTGACCCTGTCCCTCCGGGAACCTTGGCTAGCTACCTGGCTGGATCTCCAGCCTCGAAGCTCCAATATCAGGTTTGACCTCTCCCGCCTGCAGAGGCGACAGCGTTGATTTTTGCCTTTAAAAGTTGGTAGCTGCAAACTTCTTTCAGCATCCCTGCCAAGTGGAGCACTCTGCTCACTTCCTCGCCGACTTGAACCACCCCCAAACAGTTGGAGAGTAAGCTGAAGTTAGACGCCCGCCGACACTTTCGGGAAGGGTGACACCCCAGAAAACTCACTTCTCCCCTCCAGCCCTTGCACCCCGGGACTCCGGCCCTCGGCTCGTGCTCCCCACGAATTCCCCTCTGGAGACGGGACAAGGGCACGGAACGCCGACTGTTGTCGTGCCCCCGCCAAGGTGCCCCAGCGCCGGCCGGCCGGCTCCTCCTGGAGGGAAGCAAGTTCCGCTCGCCACACAAAAGAGCCCGGTCCACGGCACTGCCGCGGCCCTCCCTAGCCCGGTGCCACCCTCCGGGGCACCCGCGGCCCCGCTCTCCCGCCGCCCGAGCGGTCTCCGCTGGAGGCTTCC